CAATAGGAAACATTTCAAAAGGACCATCGCCCAATTTTTTCTAAAATAATGTGAAATGCGACCACATTCTGAATTCTTTAGAAACAACTGAGAAAGCAAAGAGAAGAAACAGTAGTTGAGCAATACTAGTTTTCAAAACATTTTAAAGAAAACTGGCAAAACTCATTTATTGTGCTTCTTGATGGGGAAAAAAGTCAAAAAGCAAAATCTAAAACTATTTTTTTTTAACTTTTTTTCTTTAAGCTTTCCATTAGGTATAACCCATAAATTGGGACTTAAGTTAACCAAAGAGAATTTAGGCAAATATTAGGTGTGAATCTGGGCACACTCATCTTGGGGCTTTGAAGCCATCTCTAGAGGACAATGAGCAAAGGCATTTGTCCCTTTGGTGCTTCCATGTCACGTGCTAAGTTCTGCTGCACCCTCCAATACTTGTCAAGAATTACTGGATCTGAGAGAAACTGAGTTTACAGTTTACTGCATGTAGAATTTTTAAATTGAGAATTTCTAAATTCCTCATTATCACCAAGGTGAATTAATGTTACTATCTAATTTTTTTTTTTTTTTTTTTTTTTTTTGACACGGAGTCTCGCTCTGTCCCCCAGGCTGGAGTGCAGTGGTGCAATCTTGGCTCACCGCAAGCTCCACCTCCTGGGTTCACACCATTCTCCTGCCTCAGCCTTCCGAGTAGCTGGGACTACAGGTGCCCACCACCACGCCCGGCAAATTTTTTGTATTTTGTTTAGTAGAGACGGGGTTTCACCGTGCTAGCCAAGATGATCTCCATCTCCTGACCTCATGAGCCGCTCACCTTGGCCTCCCAAAGTGCTGGGATTACAGGCGTGAGCCACTGTGCCTGGCCTACTATCTAATTTTAATGAAAGAATGATCAGGTTTAGAAGGCACTGGCTTGCTTCAGTTTGCCTCATGAAGTGCTTTATCTGTGAAGAAAACTGGATCTATAATTTTTTTTTTTTTTAGCAGATTGAGGGCATCTAGTTGGCTAAATGAATAACGAGAACATAAAAGTTTATTTTTGGACTGTTTAATATTTGGGAAAATAAAATAAGCATTTATTTAATAATACCAGACTCCAAAATAAGGACAAACATCAATACTCTGTAGTACATGGAATGTCTAGTATTGGAAATGTAATGAGAAAGTTAGAGAAATTTAGACCAACATTAAACTTGGAGCAACTTACTTTGTGGTAAGCGGAAAGTAGGTCACTGAGCCTTTGTAACCTAAGAGTAGCGTGTGGTTCAACAATCTGTATTTTTCCCTTCGTAATAAAACCTTCCCTAAGCAGTTGTCAATGTTTAGTAGATGCCATACAGGGACAAGTGTGTTTCCTCACAGTATTTTGTAGCCTGGGATATCACATCTTTTCCTTGCCAATTCCACCTTTTGTGCTAATGGTCCACCAAGATGACAGATCTAGAACCTTCATCACCACCTAAGTCAACACTGGCTCTGCTGGGATCCTGGGCTCAGAAATGCTTAGCCATTTGAACAGAGTCTCTCAGACACAGTTCCAAGCGCCTATAGCAGCTAGAAAGGCCAAGGCTCCTTCGATAAAGCTATGACCTTCCCTGAGAGCAATTCTCAGTTTCATCACAATATATTGCACATGAATCCCTCAGGCTCACTTTAGAAGGGCTGGGGAAAGGTTACTTTTACTGTAGCTAGCGAATCTCTAGCTTGGTGATGGTATTCATTAAATGTCAGCATTGGTATGGTTAAGGATAAGAACCTAATTATAAAATAAATTTGATTAATGCCACCTTTTTGGGGAATCATCGTAATTCGATGAATCTATAGCCAGAAATTACTCAGGCAGCAGTTTGAAAATGCTGAACACTTAAACACTGGAAATGTCACAAGGCATTGTCGTAAGGATATCATCTTAGAAAAGAATCAGTCTTCAACTGGGTGAGGATTGGCAAATCCACTAGTGGAAGCAGAAATCAATCTAACATTATCTGATTTTCAGAACTACTATTATACATCTATACATATATACATATACATATATATATATTAGACACACACATATATATAGCAAAGTGCTCTATATATATAAGTAAGTATCAGAAATGAAGCTGAAGTAATTTGCACAAAGCCACTTGAATAGCAGTAAGTGGCTGACTTGTCATTAAGATCCATCCTAAATGCTGTGCTCACTTTCCCTGTACTACAGTGAAATATTCCAGGGTTGCTCCCCTTTATCTCACCTGATCAACTGAGCTCAGGGAGCTGCCTCAGGTCACTATAGAGTCTCTTATAATAATACATATATCACTGGTATCAGCAGTGCTTTCTGTGGCTTTATAGTATAATTACTAGAGTCTCCTTTCTTAGTCTGAATGATATGGTCTTGTGAGATGCACTGTTTATTTAACTTAACGAGCACAAACACAAAATCCAAGCCACATGTTGTTCCCCTGCTATTAAAATAATTGTCCTCAATTATAAAAATAACATGAAAGCTATAAAGAATAAGCATCTCGAATAAATCTGTCACACAGTGGTGACAACTCTCGATGTACTGGTTTAATAGCCTTATAGATTTTATTCACACACATGTTATTTTAAAAAGAAAAGTGGATCATCCTATACAAACTATTTTACCCTCCCTCAAGCCTTCATATATCATGGGCATCTTTTTATGGTACTGGGATTTTGTGCTAGCAAATGCTGAAAAGATGCCATTTTACTTTATATTCTGTTTTTACAGTGACATACATTGATTTATACTTGGCATTGTTTTAAGCAAACACATGTGCCAAAAATTACAACTGCAGAGATATAGGAAAAGGCAGTGAGGTCATAGGAAAAAGGATTAAGTGAGAAAGGTTTTGTTAAATTTATCCACTTATGAGTTCTGACATGTCATTTTTATAAACCATAGATTTTCCAGATGTTGAATGCTATAGAACATTTTGCAAAGTGTAACTTTTCACTGCCATGAGAGACTGGCCTAAGAGTAAGAAATTTCAAATATACTGAGGCAGCTTGACAAATCTGCAGATAAATTGTGGTTTAGAAATAGAAAGTTGATATGTAAAAAAAAATTAATATGGTTATGAGTGGTTGAAATTACCCGTCTATTTGAAGGGATTTCCTTTCCACTGTGTCAAAGCCTCCATTAAACACCATGTTGTCTCTATTGTCAGTCAAAGCCCAGCCCAAATCAGCATCTCCACTGTTCCCTCTGCCAACAGCCCATTCCCTAGAACGGGAGAATGAACACAGAGGGGCGCTAGTGGTCGGGAGCTCAGGCACTGAGGAGTGAGGACTGAGAAGATGAAGATGACCGAGATGAAGCAGAAGAAAGAACACCCCATGGTAATATTTAATAAAAGCAGGGCACATATATTAATTTTTTTTTTGAGACAGAGTTTTGCTCTTGTTGCCCAGGCTGGAGTGCAATGGCACGATCTTGGCTCACCGCAACCTCTGCCTCCCGGGTTCAAGCAATTCTCCTGCCTCAGCCTCCTGAGTAGCTGGGATTACAGGCATGTGCCACCACGCCCGGCTAATTTTATATTTTTAATAGAGACAGGTTTTCTCCACGTTGGTCAGGCTGGTCTTGAACTCCTGACCTCAGGTGATCCGTCCACCTCAGCCTCCCAAAGTGCTGGGATTACAGACGTGAGCCACCGCACCCAGCCTATATTAATTTTATTAATTCACTCATTCATTCAATATTTATTGAACACCTATGTTGACTCAACAAGACAGTTTCTCTCACTGGTTTGGTTAATAGTGTGTGCACGAATGTGGGTGCGTGTGTGCACATGTATGTGTATAAACTTTAAACGCAAATGAATAAATTAAAAGCTATGTTAACATGAAACGTTTCAGACTTATTTTCTTTAAGCAATTTATGCAATACTTGTATTCCTAAAGTCCTTTCATTATATATTTTTTTACTTCTGGATGGAATACGTAGAATAATACTTGTGTTTTAAAAATTGGATGAAATTTTAATCATGTTTACATGAAATCTACTCTAACGTATTTTCAATACTTTCTTTAAATGGTGAGTTTTAGACTTCTGCCTCTACTTACTCCTCACTCATTTTTGAAGAATCAGTTAGAGTTTACTTAAGAATAAACTTATCTTCCATGGCTATTATCAAAAGACAAGAGATAAGTTTTGGCAAGGATGTGGAGAAAAGGGAACTTTTCCTTATACACTCTTGATAGGAATGTAAATTAGTGCAGCCATTATGGAAATATGCATGGCAGTTTTCCAAAACATTAAAAATAGAACTACCATATGATCTGGCAAGTTCACTTCTGGGCATAGATCCAAAGGAAATCAAATCAGTGTGTCAAAGAGATTATCTGTACTGTCGTGTTCATTGCAGCATGATTCATAATGGCCAAGAAATGGAATCGACCTGAGTGTCCATCAATGAATGAATGGATAAAGAAAATGTAGTAGATATGCATAATGGAATACTCTTTGGCCTTAAAAAAGAAAGAAATCTTGTCATTTGTGACAACATGGATGAACCTGGAGGACATTATGCTAAGTGAAACAAGCTACACATAGAAAGGCAAATATTACATGATCTCACTAGCATGAGGAATCTAAAAATGTAGAACTCATAGAAGCAGAGAGTAGAATGATGGTTACCAGAGGTTGGGAAGGTATGTGGGAGTGGAGATTTAGGATATGCTGGTCACAGGATACAAACTTTCAGCTAGGAGGAATAAGTTCAGGAGATCTACTGTACAACACGGTGCCCATAGCTAATAACAAGGTTGAACACCTGAAATACTTAAGTACTTGCCAAATACTTAAAAACTGCTAAGAGAGATTTTAAATGCTCTCACCACAAAAAGTGGTAAATGAGTGAGTAGACATGCTCATTAACTGGATTTAGCCACTCCACAACATGTACATATGTCAAAACATGTTGTACGCCATAAATATAAAATTTTTGTTTGTCAATGAAACATAATTTTTTTTAAAAGAATAAACTTACCTTCTAAGTGGAAAGACACAAAAGTCAAGAGGACCACTGACAGAGGATTAGCCTCTATGACATAGATGCAATTCATGTTGTTGTCATATTGTTTTGGGTAATTTGGAGAAATGATGTAACCTGAAAGGCCAGTGAAATTACTTCCGCATCCTATGTGGGAACAAAACGTCATCATCAGACCATTTTTTTTTTCATGTATCTATTTTGTCAGTGAAGGAAAGATGCATGTTCCTAAATTCTCTAGAGACATCGTTCCCTGAGATATTCCAAATAGAAGAAGCAAGAACGAAGAGAATAAAGCTCTGATTTAAAAACATACATATGTGCATAACAAGAACATTATATATTTTTAGAAAAAGCTGCAGAGTTTTATGGGCTGAGTCTTAGAAATAGTATCACAAATCTACTGCAACCGCCTTAATATCAAGGTATTAAGAAAGGATAAATGAGCAAAGATCGAATATGGTTCATGTAGATAAAGAAATAAAACTGATAAAAAATGATTTGCACTTGATTAGTACTTTACACAATTAATGTTTTTAAAATGTCTTATTATTAGAAAACTGCTCTTTTCATTACCATTGTAATCTAGCCAAAACAATGGTTGCTTTTTAAAACTAGCTGGATTTATTAATCTCAACTCTTATCAAATTCTTACATGCATCCCTGGTTTTTGAAACAAAAAGAAATATCTTTTCAGCACTAAAATGATTTGTTTTCATATAACCATTGACTGGTTAATCCACTTCACTCTCTGATCTATCAAGCATGAAAATATCTGTATTCTTTTAAATTGACATTAAAACACATACAAGTACACACATGTACACTTACACAGTGGACCACCTGCAGACCTAAGATTTAGTCTGGGGTTGTCTTTCAGTACTTCCTTTCCAGCACTCTCTGATTCAGTCTGAAACACCTGTCTATTGTATTATTTCCTCCAATCCTTTCCTCAAACTTTTCCCCAAACAGTGGTTTGCTACGAGTCAGCTACTCTTGATTTAACTCAGCCAACAGACACACACCCTTGCTTCTCTGATTTGAAAACTGCTACATTTCCCACAAATCTAATAGTGTACAGTAGCTAGAAAAGTAGATCCATCCTTCCCAACCAAAATTAGGAAGGAACAGTCCCAAAGAAACTAGCTCCCATAGTTGACTGAGCATGAAAACCCTCTGGACTAGAGTTAAAACATGCAAGACCGGCCGGGAACGGTGGCTCACGCCAGCTTTGGGAGGCCGAGGAGGGCAGTTCACGAGGTCAAGAAATCGAGACCATCCTGGCCAACATGGTAAAACCCCGTTTCTACTAAAAATACAAAAAAAAAAAAAAAAAAAAAAAAATTAGCTGGGCATGGTGGTGCGAGCCTGTAGTCCCAGCTACTCGGGAGGCTAAGGCAGGAGAGTTGCGTGAACCCAGGAGGTAGAGGTTGCGGTGAGCCGAGATTGCACCACTGCACTGCAGCCTGGTGACAGAGTGAGACTCCGTCTCAAAAAAAAAAAAAAAAAACACACACAAGACATTGCTTATGGAAATTCTGAATTCAGACAGGCCTGGGGTGAGGCTCAGGAATCTGCATGTGTTTCAAGCCCCCCAGGGGATTTTGCAGTCAAGGTGTCACAGGCCAGCCACACTTGGTTGTTTGCTAACTAACTAGCCACCTGTGCTTCTGCCCAATATCAGCCCACTCTGGGTGCCAGGCTTATTTCTAGACGTTGGCTAGTGCCTCTCATGGCTTTTATATCACTTCTCAATTCGGTTCTGTTCTCGTTGATATTTGGAAGAGAGGTGTCTTCTCAGGATTCGGTGACTCATCCTCCCCGTAGACCCCCACGTTCATCCCCTAGACCCCCAGGTTTAGCCAACCCTGCCGGCCTGCGACAACCACATCCCCTCAAAGACCTCTGGGTTTGGTTCTTAGGGTTACTTACGGCTAACAAAGGACGCAGAGAAGCCCTGAGCTGGCGTCTCCTGAGACTGGAAGACGGCAGTGAATGTGTTACTCGGTGTGATGATGGGACCCGGAGCCACGTTCCCACAGCCGGTGGCTAGCAGGGCTTTGTCGACCTCCTCAGGGCCTGCCCACACCTAGCAGGGACGTACACAGAACTTTAATGCTCAAGGGTTTCCCATCAATATTTTAATGTACTTAGGTTTCAAAATAATGGCACTCACACGTATACAGAACTAAGCATAACAGTAAACAAAACACGGACAAATCTGCAGTATTTTCTTTTGAGAATAATTTTTTTTAAGTTGCTTTTAAAATAGCATGTCCCGTTCTTGACTTCTCTAAGGCGATGGCGTTCCTTTTTGCATAGCTGGGTGGTGATTTTTTAAAAATCCAGCTTCCTGGATCACTGTTTGGTTTCCTCCTAACTTCTAATTGCCTTGACCTAGCCGAGCTTCCCGGGTGCTGAGGGAGACGGAGCGGCCAGGTGGAACTCAGTACTGCTCCTGGGAAGATAGCAAATTGTAGTCGCAGCTGGACAATGCCACCAAGCAAGAGGCACATTGTGGTGCATGAAGAAAGTGGGCATGAATTCCAAGTACACGTATAATCAGCATGAACTGGAATAAATCAGAGCACTTCTTGGCTGTGTGGAATTGTAAGGTCCATTTCGATGAAAGGCTGACATCCACTCAGTGTGTGCTATTCACCAAAGATTGGGTTGGCAACTCCCAAGTAGACCTGGGCTGTCACTTAATTGGTCTGGCCGCCTCGAATGACTGAATGTGTATACTCATGCAAAAAAACAGTTGCTGGGAAATACATGGTGAGCACCAAAATTCCAAATCAAACCAATTCCTATCAGTCCAGGGAAAAACAGAGACATTAACCACAGAACCATAAATTTACATGCAAAATTCCAGCTATAAACAAGGCATTACGGTGAAGCTGTTGAGCATATCCAATTGGTGGCTTTACCTAACTGGGGGAGGTGAGCCTGCCCCGAGGGAACCCCGATGTCAGGAAGGGCCACGGCTAGTTCAGAGAACAGAGAGAAAACCAAGGGGGAAGCGGTGAGGAAGGCTGCAGAAGGGGCTGCAGGGCACGTTAGAGACTTGGGCCACTGTTCTGAATACAGCAAGGAGCCACCAGGAAGCGTGGTTTTTTGAAAACATTACAATTCGGAAAACAGGAGTCAGAAAGGATGCCAGAAAACAATCAGGTAGGTTTTGCCCTAGTTCAGGTGGGCGATCATGGTATCTACAATATTGAGTCACATGAACATACATAACTTGGGGGAAAGAAACATTAAACATATTAACCAGAGAAGCTCGTCCTAGTTCAGAGGTCTCAACTAGGAGCAATTTTGGGACCTCTGGCAAGGTTTGGAGGCATTTTTCTATGGTGTGGTGGGTAGAATCTAGTGGGCGGAGCCAGGACTATTGCTAAGCATCCTATAGTGCACAGGACAACCTCTCTGTTCCCAACAGAGAATTATCTCAATCAAGGATGTAATTGAATGTGTATTAATCTTACTTGATTATTCAACATTCTCTTCGATTGGAATGATACAGAATTACTCATTCCAAATACATCTTTTTTCAAGGATATGCCTCACCCAGAGCTATTGCTTTATTAAACATCAAGTCATTAAAAACATTTCTACTGGGAAATCAGTCCATAGGAAGAGATGTGAAATAGCACTGATTCATAGCATTGGTTTAATAATTCTCAGCTCCTTAAAGCCATACCATTTCAATTGATTTTTAAGCACTGGGTATCCAGCTGTTAGTCATCCGACTGAAGACAAATTATATTAGCCATTTATTAGATAAGGGAGGTGCCTGGCGCTGGACCTACTGAGAACAAAAGTGCAGATATTCTGCCAAATGCCTAAGATCAATAAAAATGTCAGGAAAAAAATGCACATCCTCAATTTTGCTTAATGACCTCTAATTAGATTTCCCCCAATCAACTATCCAAGGAAACAGTATATGGCAGTTTTTTATCCACATTTCATAAAATTATAAACGTAATTTTTAAGAGATAATCTGTGTGCGTATATATATATATATTTTTTTTCCTCACTCAGGCTGAAGTGCAGTGGCACGATCACAGCTCACTGCAGCCTCAACCTTCTGGGCTCAGGTGATCTTCCCGCCTCAGCCTCCCAAATAACTGGGACTACAGGTGCATGCAACCATGCCTGGCTAGTTTTTTTATTTTTTTGTAGAGCTGGGGTTGTACCATGTTGCCCAGGCTGGTCTCAAACTCCTGGACTCAAGTGATCTGCCTGCCTTGGTCTCCCAAAGTGCTGGGGTTACAGGCATAAGCCACCATGCCTGGGCCATATACTATATTTTTACAAACATTACTAAACAGGCAAAGTAAGAAGGGCTGAAACTTAATAAAGAACCTCAAGTTCTTTAATGAAGGAATCCAAGAATGCTTAAGTGCTTATACTTTTCTGAAGTCATTAATTATAGATCTGACATCTCTACCTTTTGGCCCAGGAACGTAAGTTTAATAATAATGATGATAATGTTGACAATGATGGTAAAGAGTTATTCAACATTCATTTCTGCCTTGCCTATCAAGAACTCATTTCATTGGCTATATGACAGAGGACTCATCAAAACTATATTGAACCTACAAAATGTTACTTAATTGTCATCACGTCAAAAACTTCCTGATTTTTCTTAGTGTTCTATACAATTCAGTCAGGTTGTAGGTTATATTTTATCATTCAAGTATTTTTTAAACAAATGTTTACTGACATAATTGCAGATTCACATACATTTGTAAGATATAATACACAGAAATTCCTTGTACACATTTCTGAGCTCCCCAAACACTGACATCTTGCAAAACTGTAGTATACTATCACAACTAGGTTACTGGCATTGATAAAACTCACCAATCTTACTCAATTTCCTAGTTTTACTTGAACTCGTGTGTGTGTGTGTGTGTATTAAGTTATATACAAGTTGCACACAACTGCATTCAAGATACTGAAATTCCAACACCACAAGAACCCTTAAGTTGCTCTTGTTATTTATAACCACACACAATTTACTCCTACATTTTCTTCCCTCTAACCTCTGCCTCTGTGTTTTCCATTTCTAAAATACTATCATTTCAAAATATTATATAAACGGAACAGCAGAGTATGTAACCTTTGGAGATTGCCTTTTTTCACTTTCCATAATCCCCCGGTGATTTGTCCAAATTGTTAATCTATGAATAGTTTGTTTTTATTCAGGAATTACATTCCATGGTAAGCAAGTACCATAATTTAACCATTCACCTGTTGAAAGCCTTAGTGCTGGTTTCAACTATTACAAATAAAGGTGCTATTTATATAGACTCATACACAAGTTTTTGTGTAAACATAGTTTTCATTTCTCTGGGATAAATGCCCAGAGTGCAATTGGTAAACATTATGCAATTGGTAAATATTGATCTTCCAATAGGTGTGTAGTGATAGTTCAATGTGGTTTTAATTCATACTTCTCCAGAAGTTAATGATGTTGAATATCTTTTCTGGTATTTATCATCTGTATAATCTCTTTGGTGGAATATCTGTCCATGTCTTTTGCCCATATTCTAATAGGATTGTTTGTATTTTACTCTTGAGTTTGAGAGTTCTTTATATATTCTACATAGTAGTACATTGCCTATATGAAGAAAATGAACAGACCGGCTACAGACTGGATGAAAATATTTCACATGGCATAATTTAAATGAGGTAAAATTCATCATTTTCTTTTCTCTTATGAATCATTCTTTTGCTGTTTCATCTAAGACCTCTTTACCTATCCCCAGGTCCTGAAGACATCTACTATTTTTTTTCTCTGAAACTTTTATATTTTACTTTTCAGTCTATCATCTATTTTGAGTGAGGTTTTCTACAAAATGTGAGGTTTAGGTTGAGATTTATATTTTTTGCCTGTGGATGTTCAATTGCTGTAGTACCATTTGTTGAAAAGACTATTCTCCCTACATTGGAATGTTTTTGCACCTGTCAAAAATCAGTTGAGCATGTTTGTGTGAGTGTATTTCTAGGTTCTCTATTTTCATCTGGGTTTTCAGCCAATACCATATTGTCTTGATTACTGTAACTAAGATAAGTAAGCCTAGGTAAATAGTAAGGTAGAGTTCTTCCTCCCATTTTATTCTTCTTTTCCACGATTCTTTTAGCCATTGAAGGGTCTGTGCCTTCCATATAAGTTGTGGAAAAAGTTGTCTATGTCTACAAAAGACTTTGGAGAAATTTTGATAGGAATTGCATTAAACCTATCCATCATTTTGAGGAGAAGGGACGTCTTTACTATGTTGAGTCTTCCAATTCATAACTATAATTGTCTCTTTCATTTAGGTCTACGCCAGCATTTCATTATTTTTAGCATCCAGATCCTGCACACATTTGTTTGGGGCTTACTTGGCAATGAGACCATTACATCTACACTGATCCACCTGACCCTTACCAGGCATTCCCATGGGAAAGAATGGACGATTAAGGGAGACAGAGCTTTCTCCTGTTTGGCCTCTTATACCACAGCAGAAAATGACGAAAGACATGACTGTTACTTACATTTTGGCCTGTTGTTTTAATTAGCTACTCCAGCACTTGGCAGTTCACTTCTCTCCAGCTCAGCTCAGTGCTTAACAAGATATTCCTTCTGTTACTGTTTTTTTTTTTTAGTTCAGTTTTAATATAGTCAAAGAACACACTCTGTATTTCAATTCCTTGACTTGGTTGAGGTTTTTTGATGTCTCAGGATATGATCTACCTTGGAATGTTACAAGAGTTCCTAAAAAATTGTGTATTCTGATGTTGCTGTGTGGTGTATTTTATACACACACACACACATACACACATATGTCAATCAGATCCTATTGATTGATGGTTTTGTAGAGTTCTTCTATATCCTTGTCAATTATTTGTCTAGTCGTTTATCAGTTACTCAGAGGAGAGTGTTGAAGTCCTCAGCTATAACTGAAGATTTGTCTACTTCCCTTCTTAGCTCTATCGGTTATTGCTTTATGTATTTTGTGCCTCTGTTGTTTGGTGCATACACATTTAGGATCATTATGTCTTCCTGGTGGATTGATCCTTTTATCATTATGTAAGATTCCTCTTTTTCTGTTGTAATTTTCTATACTCTAAAGTCTACTTCATCAGATATAAATATATCCACTCCTGCTTTTTTTGGTTAACCTTTGCATGGCATCCTTTTCCATCCTTTTACTTTTCATGTACCTATGTGGTTGAATTTGAAATCAGTTTATTATCACTTAGGTCATGTTTTGGATTGGTAACCTGTATTGTGATTGGTCTAACTAAACTATTTACAATTAAAATGCTGATATATATATATATATATATATATAAATTCTATGTCTACATTTTATTATATGTTTTTTATTTACTTTATCTGCTTTTTGGTCCTCTATTTCTCTTTTCTTGACTTCTTGGGGATTCCATTTTGATTGATATTAGCATTTTTCTGTACAACTCTTCATACAGTTTTGGTAGTGGTTGTTCTGGGTGTGACAATATGCCTACGTGATTATAGTAGTCTACCAGCATCCACCTCTGACCACTTGTGGAAATGTGATTTCCATTTAGATCCCCTTTCAACTTTTCCATATCATTATATTGAGTATCAGAGGGCATTATAATTTCTTGTTTTATTAAATATGATTCACAAGCTTTATGAGGAAAAGGATATTCTATTGTATGTATACATATTTTTCTTTTTCCACATTCCTTTTTGTTTTCTCATGCTCCAAGATTCTTTAATAATTTCATTTTGTTTGAAGAAATTCTGTTTGCCCATCTTTAATGGTAGGTCTCCTAGTAATAATTTTGTTTAGTTGTCCTTCATATTAGAAGCTTTTATTTCCTCTTTACTCCTGAAAGATAGTTTTCCAGATATAAAATGTATGGTTGACAATTTCTTTGTTTCAGCACTTGAAGAATATAGTGTCAATTCCTCATGGCCTCCATGGTTTCAGATGAGAAATCTGCTTTTATTCTAACTGGTCTTCCTCTCTAGGTAATGTTCCAGTTCTCTCTGACTGCTTTCAAGACTTTTTGTTTACCTTCAGTGTCCAGCAGTTTAATTAAGATAGGTCTGAACTTAAATTCCTTTGTGTTTATCTTGGTTTAGCTTCACTCAGCTTCTTGAACCTATAGGTGTGTTTCTTTTGCCAAATTTGGGAAAGTTTACAGCCACTAGTTCTTTGACTGTTCTTTCAGCTACACTCTCTCCTCTCCCTTCGAGAGAATGTTGAATCTTTTGTTATTGTCCATGAGTCCCTAAGTCTGTGTTGATCTAGTTTGTTTGTTTTTTCAGTCTATTTTCTCTTTGTTGTGCAGATTGGGTGAATTCTATTGTTCTATCCTCAGGTTCACTGATTCTATTCTCTGTCATCTCTATGCTACTCTTGAGCCTATTCAGCATATTCTTTATGTATGTTATTGTATTTTTCAGTTCTATAATTGCTATTTGGTTCTTTATTGCAACCACTATTTCTTTGCTGATATTTTCTATTTGTTTCAAAAGAACTCGTCTGTGATTGTTGAAGCATGTTTATGGAAGCTACTTCAACATCCTTGTCATATATTTCAACATCTGATTTATCTCACTGTTGACATCACTTGATTCTTTTCTCTTTCAAGTTGTGATGTTCTTGATTCCTGATACAATGTATTCTTTCTGATTGTATCCTGGACATGTTATTTATTATGTTAGGAGACTTTAGGTCCTATTCAAATCTTTTATTTTAGCAGGCTGTCACCCTGTTTATGTTTACCACGTGGCCTTACATACTCTGTGGTGGAATTTTGGTCTGCTTGGTTTACATGGTGCTACTAGGGCTCTCACTAGCTTTTGCTGGTGCTACCTGAGGGGCTCTGTGTGTTTCTCAGTTGGAGGCAAAGGGTATAGTAATTTTCCCCTACTAATGCCCCCTGGGTACCTCAATGTCTCTGGGTGGAAGAGGAGCATGTCTGCCCTGTGGGGACAAAGAGGCTTCCCAGACTGGGCCCCTTTCTGTGACTGCAGCCCCACCTGCCCTGGTGTCTCTGGGTGGGTGAAGAGAATCTCAGGTTTACAGGTGTTAAGTGGCTTCCTGCAGGGGCTGTTTGCTGAAGCTGGGTCCCTTTACTGGTTCCTCCCACCCACACAGATGCTTGGCAGAAACAAGCATCTTACGCCCGTTAGGAGAAGACAAGTGATTCCCATATGGCAACTTATTTTTGGCAGTGTTCCTAATCCATCCCACTCGCCAGCAGCACTGGGCTTGCCCGATGTTGTCAGAGGGACCCCCATTCCATCCAGAGGACGAATGAGCCTAGGTCATCTTCCATATTCCAGTTTTACAACTGGAGAACTTGAAAGTTTTACTTAAGTCTGAATACTTGATATTGATTCATTTCATGAGAAGAGAGTTCATTTAGTTCATGGAAAAAGCAATTAAGAAAAGTATATATTAAATGTATTTTATTATATACATATGTTATATACATATGAGATTTCCATTTAAACAGTAAGCATGGGTCAATGAGATATACATCATCATTTGAGAGCTGATGTGAAGTAATAACACTGACAATAAAAGCCACTTTGACTCATTAAGTGATTTTATATTCCAAGTACTTAGCACTACTTATGTTATTACATCGTACTACCTCCAATGCTTAAAATAGCCCTACTAAAGAAGGAATCATGCTCTTCATTTTACAGTTGAATAACTTAAAGGCCAATTGTTTAAGTAGTTCAGAGAAGAACATGCAGGTGGTAGGTATGAGAGACATGAATGGAGGGGCATAGCCTTTTAGAGATATAACTTGGAAGATGCAAAATAGAACAGATGAAAAGAATTTCTAAGACAGTCATCATAGTCACAAGTCAGTGGAAAGCGACAAGCCACTGCCACACGAGCAGTATTTATAACTTTAGATTTCGAAAGAGCCTTGCTCTCCTGATGCCCCATTCCCATCATTTTTACACGGGTTTCTGACGGTTTTTTCAGCCTGTGGGCTCTTAAGGCCCAAGGTGAAGGCTGGCATTAGCTGCTTCTTCAACATTTCATAATTTTTGTGGCATGCTTTAAATTTTGCCTGTGGCAGTACCCTACGTTATAAAGGGCATTTTCCCTTTAGGATCTATTGGAAAATAAGAAAGGAAAGAAACGTTAACTCCTAACAGTTGACGTTTCTCACTTTCTCACTTTTCATCCAAGGAATCCAGGCAGCAAAATGTTCTTACTTTGAGAGACAATGAGTCATTTCTAGCTTAAACACTAATGTTCACCAAACCAACTTGGCTCCAATTAAATGAACAAGTGTACTAACCTTCACGAAGCTATTCTGACATTGTCCATCACCGCTGGGGATTAGGAAGTTGTTGTCAAAGCTGAGCTCCAAGTGTTTACTTTTGTGAGTAATGACCGTCCAGGAACATCTGCTGTTTTCAGGAAAATTCTGAGGCCAGTGAGGGGATCTGATTGTACCATTATCGGAATGAAATATTCCACCACAACCTGAAATATTGCCATGTAAAAAGCCATCAATCTGCAAGGAATGTAATTTTGGAAACTCAAGACTTCTACAGAAGGAACATTTCTAAATGTGAGATTTCAGTTCATCATTTTTTACAAATGATCATCTTCCAGTCAGGTGCACAGCAAGCTCTCTCCATAAATGGAAAGGTGAGTTAAATTGAGAGAAAATTTCAGCTGTTACAGTTGTGTTACAATGATATTAAACTCAACCGAGAACACTAATCCTTGCCATAAAGAGGATACATTTCCATCCTGTCTTCAAACAAGAGCTGTATTTTTATTCTCTTTGAGGCTATGCAGTATATGTAACCTGGCAATGCAGTTTTGTATTTTATTACCATTAACACATGAGAATATTACCCTACAGTCCATTTGCAACTTTACTCTAACTCTAACTAGAGAAAGTGATTTTGAATTGGGGAAAATTATTTTATTAACCAATCTGGCTCATTCATATTGAAACTGACTGATGGATCAAAATTAATTACGTGGATTCAAAGGAAGAAAAATCTAGAATTTTCATACTTTTAACACATGTACTTAAGAGATGGCAAAGAAAAATATGAACTCAAAACAAAATGAAGTTAAAGAGGTATTCTCTGAATCTTTTGCTGTGAAACCCTTGGAAATCAGGGATTCACCTAAAACTCCCTTCTGACTTCAGCAACAGCCAGTGGTTGTTAATGAGGGAAAGTCTGACTCAGTCTACAAAGAGCTTCATAATAACTGTGACTCTACCAGAAAGAATTGTCTTGTGTGATATTCAAGATTTCCGGAAACCCGTAATAAAGTGTCTGATACAAGTCCTTGTATTTTCTAAGACTTTTCACAATGTTTATACTTTCTATGCACAAAAACTATTCTTCTAGAATGAAATCTGTCATATTTTGACTCAGTACCCATTCACTATAGAATTTGTTCTAAATTACGAATCTCATCTTGTCACCTTGCTTTTCAACACTCTTCAATAGTTTCCCATTGTTCAAGGGATAACGTATAAACCAAGGCTCTTTATGTTGTGGACTTATTTTCCTGCCCTCAGCTCACCACCACTCAGCGTTCTGCTTCTAGGCTCCAGATAATATCAAGCACTTGGGATTCCAACTCATCTTTCTATTACTTGAGATTCGCGGTTGTGCCATACCCTTTTGCCGACGAAGGCAGCATCAGGAAGTGTTGAGATCAAAGTTTCTGGACTCAACTGCCTTTATTCAAATCCTGACTACCAATTATCAGCTATGTATCTGGGGAAATGATGAACCCATGCTTCCTCAGTCTCTGCCTATGCAAAATAGAGACGCCAGGTATTGACATTGTGTTATCCCACCAGGGTTGCTACATGACATGACATGTGCAAATATTTAGAATTAACTCTGATGTAAAGTAGGTACAAAATGTACATGAGTTCATAATACACATCACTAAAAAAAAATCAAATGCAGCAAACGTTTCTTTTACCTAAAGTTTGTGTGTTCCACGTAGCATAAAATCCACCACCTTGCAATGAATGGTCTGAGTTAAAAGTCACGACCAGCTGATTGGAACCTGACTGTATTGTCCTAGGGTTTGAATTTCCACAGTATTGTCCTATGATGGGTGATTCAGGGGACCCACCATTCCTCACAGTGACGGAGTCCCAAGCACAAGTGGTATGGGGTTCAATATCAAAGTCACTAAATGTGAGCTGCAGGAGAAAAAAGAAATGAGCTTTCAGTGAGCTTTTATCAACCTTGATGTAGATAAGGCCCTTACAAATCCTTTTATTTTCTTTTAATTTTTATAATTTTGTATTTTTGTCTCTTATTTAAGTCTCCCTTCCCCTCTACTCATTTTCCTTATTGAAGGTGCTCTCGGAAAACTTGAGAAAAGACATTTCCCTAGTTTGGGATGGCAACTCATATTAAGAAAATGAATACACTTCTCTCTAAGATGTAGAATTATCTTCTATGTATATCTTTCCCTGTGCTTAAAAAAGAGATTTCACTCTTCATTAATTATAGATGCCAACGTAGGTGCTCTAGTGAGAGAATGTTAGGGAAAAACAGTGATCTCATTGTAGAATCAAAGCCTTCTCTAATCACTTGCTTACTAAAAGAGCTCCATTTCCATGCACGACAGGCTATTGTGGTTCTATGGTCTCAGAAGCATTTCTCCCAGTCATTAGCACTCACAGTGATGGTGTGCCCCTGTGGGGCCTCCAACAGCCAAGAGCAGTGGGTCAGGCTGTCATAAGCATTTGGATAGTTGGGGCTTGTGATCATTCCACTCTCGCCTATCTGTATTCCGCCACAATCTGAAATGAGATTCGTAACCCTCTCAATCACACAGAAGTAAAAACAAGAACCTGTAAAGCCAAAGTAAGTGGTAATCATAGCCATCAGATATTGTGATTAGAAACATAATCAGGCCAGGCATGGTGGCTCATGCCTATAATACCAGCACTTTGGGAGGCCGAAGTGGGCAAATCACCTGAGGTCAGGAGCTCAAGACCAGCCTGGCCAACATGGTGAAACCCCATCTCAACTAAAAATACAAAAATTAGCTGGGCATGGTGGCATCTGCCTGTAGTCCCAGGTATTCAGGAGGCTGAGGCAGGAGAATCGCTTGAACCAGAAGGTGGAGGCTGTAGTGAGCCAAGATCATGCCATTGCACTCCCGTCAGGGCGACAGAACAAGACTCCATCTCAAAAGAAAGAAACCATACACATACACACACACACACACACACACACAAACCACACACGTATATATATTTTGTATATTTTTTGTATATGTATATTTTATGTATATATATGTGTGTATATATGTATAAAATAAATGAAATTAAATAGAAGAAAAGTAAATTTGGGTAGAAGTTTAGGAATAACAAAATTCCATACAGTATTAGCATAAAAAATTGAAAATTGAAAAACAAATACATTTCTGAAGCATAATATGGTCTGACGTTCAATAAAAATAATACTGCTTACTGAAACCTGACTCTTTTCTTTGAAAGTGATGAAGGCAAGTCAACTGGCAAGATGGTTGAGTGAGTAGATAATCAATTTCACTCCTTCTTTCAACCAGCCATTTGGTTATAACACAAAGGAATGTTAGATAAAACCATAACTAAAACACATTTTGATTCATAGCCAACTCAATGGAAAGAAAAGCAGATCTCCAAAATCTGGCAGCAGTAAGTGTACTCCAAGTGAGAGGAGTGAAACTCAAAGAGTGACAGTCTGAGAGGCTAAAGAAAGCATGCGTGGGTCCCAGGGTTGGGCTCTGAGGTTTTGGTGACCAGGTAGGAGGAGAAGATACAGCTCTGGGTCTCCACAGAAGGAAGGACTGGAATTGAGACTTTTACATGAAGTTGGGAATCTAAACAAACTGGCATACTTGCGAAAAGGGACTAGAAAACTTCCCATAGCCAAAGGAAGCAGTCAGGAGTAGGGCTGGGTTTTCCAGCACAAACTGTGAATTTCGCATATGCAAATCTGACACAAAACACTAGCAAATTATATCCATTGTATGTATAAAACACACATCATGACGAAATAGGATTTATCCCAAAAATGCAAGGATGGTTTACCAAGAGAAAGAAATCTTTCATATAATTTGTCATATTAACTTATGAAAGGAGAAGAAGTTGAAACATCTCAATGGATGCAGAAAATTATCTGATAAAATCTTACGCCCATTTTCATTTAAAAAAAGCTTTTTCACACTAAAGATGGAAGGGATTTTCTTTAACAAAAGATACTTATTGGAAACTTAAGAGCAACCAATATATTTAATAATAAAATGTCATAGACAGTCACATCCAGGTCAGAAACAAGATGCTCTATCATTCCTTCTGTTCAATATTCTGATGGTGGCCCTAGCTAGCAAAATGATGTAAGAAAATGAAATGAAGTATTACGGCTGAAAGCAAAAAGAACTAATATTTGCAGAAGACATGATTGTTTACACAGAAAGATAAAAGAGAATCTATAGACAACATATTAAAACTAATAAGAGGACAGCCAGATCTTTGGACTAAAGATACATGTATGCAAATTATAACATTTCTAGATATCAGCCACAACCAATTAAAAAATGTAATGTAGAAAATCTCATTGATAATATTAAAAAAACTAATAGCTATGTAGAAATGTCTAATAAAATATATAAGAAATCTTTATAAAAAATCATTAATCTTTATAAATAATTTTATCAAGATCTTAATTATAACTCTTACCTGTAAAGGAATACTTCGCATGGAATCCAATGTGTTCTACACGTTCATTGGTGACAAAGTGTATCCATACCTGAGAATACGGTATAACCAGTGGCAATGTAGGCTTTGAAGGACCACAAAGTCTCCACATCAGGGGCCCATCAGCATCACCTGAACAGAATAATATACCAAGTTTCATTATTGATATAGCTTTTGAGAAATACATTCAATGAATTTGGTGAGAACAAATTTCAAGATGTTAATTGACACACATTTAAATTCTGATTTAGTAGCAGACATTGCACAATGTTTCTCTGTCTTTGTCAACCACCAAAGAAAGTCCCTCCAACAGGGTAAAACAAACACAAAAAATCAAAGCAATTTTGAAATGAACCTCTCTCTATTGTGGATACCATTGTGTTCCAATTTGTGTTTTCATAGTTATTTCGGCATATCTAAACAGAGATACAATGAATTAAAATAGCACTTTTGGACACACCTTTTGTAGGGTGTAAGAAATATAATACCAACAGTGATCAAATATATCCTCAAGATAAAGTGATCATTGCCTAAAATTGGAAAGATTTCTTCACTGTATTCAATCAACTAAAAAGGACACAATATTCGGCACTCAGGCCAAGAGCTGTCAGATCTGAGCCTGATATTTTTTATGAAGATTACTTTTCAAGGGTTTGATGAACATGTATAGAGCATCAGCAGGGCTCTCATTTATCTGCTTTCTTTTTATTCTGTCAGATAAACATCACTGACCTTCTAAATCAATGATATATAGTATTTTAACTGAGCAAACTATTTTAACTAAACCTGAGCAAATAAAGAGAAGACAGCGTTTAGCTGACTGAAATTTGAGATACAGCTGTTCTGCTTAAGACTACAAGCCCATAGTTTTGAACCAGGTAGAGGGGGTGAGGGTTTATCAGAATTCCATGGAGAACATCCTCAAACCACAACTTCTCTTTCCCTCATAAGCCTTTTTAGGCTCCTCAGCCTCAGAGAGGTGGGAGGACTCTTCGGCTGAGGCCCTCGGTCTGTGGGCATAGGCTCTATCGAATTCTCCTTCTTGAAAATCCTGTCGCTCAGGTTCTCAGATGTGACTAACATTGACCTCTCAGTTTCTCAAGGACTTCTCCACCAACTAACTGATGAGCTTCTGCTGCTTTCAACCTCCTTTTCTTAAAATTTGGGATAACACAGAACTCAGCAAAACTTTGACAGTATGGATGATCACATACTATTTACAATATTATTGTCTTCCTCTATCTACTTGCTTATTTACTGAGAAAAAAGTGTCAGCATAATCATGGAAGCAACCTAATGAATAATCTATACCTTGACTATAGGGAAGAAAGAAAATTGATTCATCCTCCTTGAATATAGAGGTTTAAAAATTCTTCAGAGAATTATGGTTTATTGAGTACACCGCAATCCTTTTCTATCACGAAAACCAAGACAAATGACTGCTTTGGGGTTATTTCCCCAAATAGCTTCCATGTGTTTCTCCATCTGGTATATTGCAAAACTTCTTTTAACTCCTAAGGCCTCAGGAGAATTTCACAGCTTCTTCATAAATCCTGGAAGTTCAGGAAACTGCCAACACATGCTGAGCATGCTAAGTCCCAGTCTCCTTGGAAAGGAGTCTTGATAGTAGTGGACTCTCTCTTCGGCAAGAGTCACATGCCAGGAAACGAAGTGACTGTAACACAGGGTCTAGTTGTACAGTGATCCGTGTCACTCACTGTTCCTGGGGTTCGTTTTCCTCAGCTGGGCACACACAGAATTATGGCTTTGAACAGAGTTCTTTTGGATTGTGTGTACCTATGTTAGAGCCATTTGATTCCCTTCATTGTTAGTGGTCTCCAAGCGTAAGAAGAATATTGTAGGCCAGGCATAGTGTCTCATGCCTGTAACCCCAGCACTTTGGGAGGCCAAAGAGGGAGGATCACTTGAGGCCAGGAGTTTGAGACCAGCCTGGACAACATAGGGAGACCCCATCTCTAAACAAAAAATTTTTTAAATTAGTTGTATGTGGTGATGTACACATGTAGTCCAAGCCACTTGGGAAACTGAGGCAGGAGGATCACCTGAGCCTGCAAGGTTGAGGCTGCAGTGAGTTATGATCACACCACTGCACTCCAGTCTGGGCAAGAGAGCCAGCTCCTGTCTGAAAACAACAACAGCAGCAACAACAACAAAAAGATAAAAAGAATATTGTAGATAAACAGGAGAATGTGTTCTTAAATAGAACTCACCCACTCGAAACTCGAGGACATCAAATTGACAGTCTTGGTGACTTTCTAGGTAAAAATCTTCAAAATGAATGGAAATGGATGAATTTTCCTGATTTGGATTGCTGAGAGTCCATTCGCAGTTCAGGTTTCTTGAGTAATTCCTGACTCCATCATAGCCAGGAGAAGTAAAGTTTCCTTCAGAAGTGTTTGGAAGAGACCCACCATACACTAAGAAAACAGAAGGCAACAGAGAAAGTAGTAGTAAGATTCAGGCCACAACAGAAGAGATAAACAATACAGGAACAGTAACTAAAACATCAACACTACTGCTTTGATTTGTTTTTCTAGATGCAATCAGGGTTATGGGTAAAAGGCATGCAAATTATGGAAGTTTCTGCAAGTTTATAAAGGAAAAATGTGCAAAAATCAGTTCTCTATCTTCCTGTTGGTGTAGATTAGGTGGCTGGGGTTTGGCTCTGTATCAATAGGTTCAAATATTGAGGCCGACTGTTCATTAATATTTAATTTAGAGGAATACATAAATATAACGGTGGCAGGTCCTAATGGCTTGATTAGCACTTCTCCACTTGATCTAATAAATTAACTTAAATCTAACAGATAATAGGACATTGACCTACCAATGAATTTGCCCCCTTTTAATAAAGGAACAGATGCTTCTTGTACTGATGAAATAACTTAGTGTTTTTCTTTTAATAGTCACTGCCCCTTCCAAATTTTAAAACCCTTAGATAAAAACACCAATCCAGGAAATAGGAGGATATTTATAATTAGAGGCCATATCTTGCTTAATTTTGGAATATTCTATATCATATCAAACCTCCCATTTATTTTCACTGGAAATACGTGTGTGAATAGATGACTAGAAACAATAAAGCCTGTTCTGTCCCCAGCAAAATTAATTCCTCTCTGAGACTAAGTTACCCTCTAAGAAACTAAGATGGTTTCTTTCAGCACAAAAGAATTGACCAGGGACGATGGAACAGGTCACCAACCCTCATGGTAACATGACCTGAAACTGTGCTAGAAGCTCATCTAACAGCATTAAAAGTTTTAAATTCACCATAGCAGTTTCTTTCTGAAATCAGAAAGCTTTTTTCTGTCTGCAGTGCATTTTTGATCTGCTTATGTGTGTTTGTCTTATGTCAAAGATTCCAAGTATCACTAGAGGGAAAATGGATGGCTTTGCTGCCATTGACAGTAGCTGGGGGCATCTGCAGTACACCTGATTACAATGAGGTGCATTTCTATTCACAATTGCAAAGACTTGGAACCAACTCAAATGTCCATCAATGATAGACTGGATTAAGAAAATGTGGCACATATACACCATGGAATACTATGCAGCCTTAAAAAAGGATGAGTTCATGTCCTTTGTAGGGACATGGATAAAGTTGGAAACCATCATTCTCAGCAAACTATCGCAAGGACAGGAAACCAAACACTGTATGTTCTCACTCATAGGTGGGAATTGAACAATAACATTGGGACACAGGGTAGGGAACATCACACACTGGGGCTGTTGTGGGGTGGGGGGACGGGGGAGGGATAGCATTAGGAGATATACCTAATGTAAATGATGAGTTAACGGGTGCAGTACACCATCATGGCACATGTATACATATGTAACAAACCTGCACATTGTACACATGTACCCTACAACTTAAAGTATAATTTAAAAAAATAAAAAATAAGATGAGGTGCCTTTACAACATCCTACATTACCTGCATCTTCACTGGAGGTATAGGAAGCAGTGAAGCCGCCATATGGCCTGGATCCATCCGTGAAAAAAATGACTCTCATTGTGTTTCCTGAAGATTTAATCTCACTGCTTACATTCACACTACTACACAGTTTCTCTAGCTGAGGTGAGTTACTTCTAATGCCATTGAATACCTTTGGGAAAGAGTTTAACCTTTAGACACACAATCCATCTTACTGCATATTTCCTAGGAGGTGATATTCCCAGCCCAGACCCACTTCCTTCTATGGGAACCCTGCCCTAAAATGAATGACCTAACAATTCAGGTTTCTATGCCAGTGCCACAAGCCTCTATGTTACCCTGAGCACATTTTGTGACCACAGGGTGATTTCACTAGAATGAAAGTATTGCAGTAATGCCTTCCTGCCATGGGGTGATAGATTAAAAGCTGCTACACACTTTGCAAGTGGAAACCGTGCTCTCAGTGTAAAGGAGATGAGCCATCGTGCTTACAACGTGGTCTGCAGAGCTCACTGATGGGCAGTTTTTCTTAACGATGCATCAGGACCTTTGTTATTTGGAAGTGAAGCTGATGATTTCATGTATATAATAAAGCAGACATTTTTCTTTATTTACTTTAATTTTTATTTATTTATTTTTTGAGATAGAGTTTTTCTCTTGTTGCCCAGGCTGGAGTGCAATGGCATGATCTCGGCTCACTGTATCCTCCACTTCCCAGGTTCAAGCAGTTCTCCTGCTTCAGCCCCCCAAGCAGCTGAGATTACTGGCATGCGCCACCATGCCCAGCTAATTTTGTATTTTTAGTAGAGACGGGGTTTCACCATGTTGGTCAGGCTGGTCTCGAACTCCTGACCTCAGGTGATCCACCTGCTTCGGCCTCCCAAAGTGCTTGGATTACAGGTGTGAGCCACGGTACCCAGCAAGCAGATATTTTTAAATACCTTGAAAAGTAACATGAAAAATCAATCCCCATATGCAATTAAACATAGTTCTTTCCTCGTTAGTTGTGGATTCAAAGCTTCAATTTCTTTACTTATTTGAATTTCTAAGAATGGATTATTATTGACTCTAAAATAGTAAATAATAACTGTAGTCATTCACATAGTTACAATCATTGGCAAACTATTCTTCCAATGCTTTACAAAATCAAATGAATTTGCATGCCTGGTTTTCACAGTTCAAAAAAAATCTAGATGAAATAACTGAAAAATAATTCATTGAGTGACTGACATTCCCATTTTTAAAAGGATTTGAATGACTTAAGATTAGAAATAATGACTCAGACTATGGCACTAACAATTATGCAGAAGGAGAATGCACTCCACAACAAAAGATCTCTTTAAATTTACTATAATTAATCAAATTTATCTCTCTGGGGGCTTCTGGTCTAAAGTGTCTTCCGGGTCACTGGACCAGAAGAAGAGTTTGCTATCATTTACTGAGCAGACAAAAATGCCAGTCTTTGCTTATCATCCACTCAGCCTGTCTTATCCAATCAGCACAATACCCTCCCGGGCAGATAATAGTATCCCTGTTTTCCAGATTAAGATACCAGAATTCAGAAAGATGATGTAATTTGCTGAAGTTCAAATAACTAGTAATAATAGAACTGAGATTCAAACCATCCCTCTGATTCTAAACGATGAAGTAATGCATAAAGAAACAGATGAGGACTAATATTTCTATAATGCTGAAAACAGGAATGGACACCACATTGCTGGAATCAAAAGGGATTAGAACCAACTATAAGGTTAATGGGACATGTTGGAAACCGTGATCAATGGCTCTTATCCTGCCTCTGAGTCTGCCTTTGGCATAGAATCACAATGACTGAACATGTTACAGTCATCCATTTATCACATGGACTTCTGCTGTTAGACGCAACCAGAATGCAATTCCCATCATTGTCCTCTAATCCCTTTTGTACTCAGAAACTACAACTCTCAGAGTACAAATGGATAGGAAGCAGGCATGTGAGATTTAGGATTTGCTATGAGCAGGGACAAAATCAGACACAGGTGGCATAGCTTTTCATTTTCTCTATCTGTACAGAGAGTCAGATAGGCAGGTGGGTTTAGAGAAATTTTAGGCTCAGTTCAGCTGGATATGGTATTAGCCAGGAAGCAAACAAATGAAAGTTAAAGCTGCCTCCTCTGCACCAGCAGATCTTCTTTCTTCTTCACTCTTTTCTTTTTTTTCTTTCTTCTTCTCCTTCTTTTCTCTTTCTCCCTCTCCTTCTCATTCTCCTCCTCCTTCTCCTTCTTTTCTCCTTCTCCTTCTTCTGGTTCTTTTTCTCCTTCCCCTTCTCCCTCTTCTTCTTCTCCCTCTTCTCCTCCTCCTTCTCCTCCTCCCTCTCCTTCTTCTTCTTCCTCTTTCATCTTTCTTCTTCCTCTTTTGGGCAAGTTCTCAATCAAATAGAGTGGGGGCAAAGGCCAACCCACATGTCTTTGTTTGGAGCAGAGTAAAGAGGAACCAAAATAATCATTGAACATATAAAAATACATTTCAAAAAAGGAATCTGGACATTATACTAAAGATTCAGAAAAAAAATTAATTCTGAAAGTGATTCCTTGCTGGAGTTTTAACCTCCCCAAGAGCAAAGACCTGTGGATATGACATTTGCAGGTTTGTAGTTTTCCCTAATTAAAGAGTCAGGGTCCCCTCATGCATACAGAGATGCCAGTCATCCTTTCGGTAATTCATTCTTAAATATGAATGAACAGCCAAGGATCAGCAGACATTTAGGGAAGTGACTAATGTAAAAGGCAGAGACCAATATTAGTAAACAGGACATAGGAACATGAAGAAAACTGACCCCACATAAGCAACACAAAACTTCAAAATTATTATTAATATATTCATATATATTAATATATCAAACATATAAAATATTTAAATATATACTTTTCAAAGATTCATGGTAAAATAAAGATAATTTCAGGTATACCGTTTCTCAAAAAATTTATTGCCCTTGCCCATTTTCTTGGGGAGCTACAAGAGGGTATGTCTCACCAAAAGAGGAAATTAACCAAGAAAGGGACGTGCATAGCATCACAAAGCCAGCTTTCTAGCCCAGGAGAAGAATGAAGGAGCTTGCATATGTAATGGCAAAGGGAAATTCTGAAATGACAGCTAGCATCAGGCTTGCAACTGATGGACAAAGGCTCAAGGAAGGATATTACTGAGAAAAAGAAATGGAACTGATATATTTTACTACAGAAGGTAAAGATGCACACCTGGGGTGGAAAGGGTGTGGAAGAATTGGTGATCAATGCATAAAACCCAAGAAAATGTAAAGAGGACACAATTATTATTCCTTAGGAAAACAAAAGCAAATGTTGCCATAGTACACTACTTGGCTCAGTTGTGAATGGTGTTTACATAATCATGGTAATGTCAACTGAATGACAATTTAAGCAAAAGCTGTGACATACGTATTTTGGGAGACAATTGGGAAAGCATGTAAACTGTGGATACCCCATGTGTGTTTGTGGTGGCAGGGGGGTAATTTTCATCTTCCAGAGTAGGATGTGGATAGATAATGTCCAAAAAATGCAAGGAGTAGTAGAATAGGAATATTATTTAGAAATAATGACATAAAACCGACCAGCAGTAGCTGCAAGAGTTATAAGTTGATAATTAAGGGATAAGGAGATAACAAGTAAGATCTGCTTTGGAATTGTGGTTGTGGCTATAACTTTTATCTTTATTTGAGCTCTAAAACTGTGACTGTTCATATTCTCTTTCCTAAGGATATGTGAATACTCTACTTGTAAAATTCCTGATAATCATTATATTCAGTATGATTTAAACTGTGAAAATAATTTCAAAAGTAAAAAACAACTGTTATTTATTTTTTGAACTCTCCAAATATTACTCAATAAGCATCCATTATATTTATAACCGGAAAAATGGACTAAAATCAGAATTCAAGCGGATTTGTATCACATGATTACAAGTACATAAAGTATGCTTTGCCAAGAAGAGATGAGAAAACGCATCAAAATATGGTATAGTGGGAGTGGTTAGTATTTTTTTCTACTTCATCTTTGTTTATATATATTCAATCAATAATAGGAAAAAAAAAAGTTTCTTATAATAAACAATCTTAGTCCAAAATTTCCTGGCTCTCAAATAAAAGAAAACCCATTTGGTTTCTCATTTTCAAGATTTGAAAGACAATAGTTCAGTCCTTCAGATATTAGAACTTGGAAGTAAAATTTGAAGGTTGAATGAGATCATTTTATAGCAATACAAAGTGGTCATAAGATACAAAGATATTTCATATTTTTGAAATTCACTGCCCAACAGGAGACAATTAAACTGACAACAAAAGTGGCTTGTTACTAAAGGTATAATGATAGTACCTCTAATACCCATTCATTCAACAATTATTTATCTCTATTATGTACAGGCACTGGGGATTCAGTGAATCCCCAGCAGTGAATGAAACTATGGCTTGACCTCAAGCCATATTCTCAAGTCATGGCTAGAATGCTTACATTCTAGTGGGGGAAGCAGACAATAAACTGATGAACAAATCAAAATGATATATGGCAGCAGGTGTGAAATGCTGTAAAACAACATGGCAGAGAAGGGTCGGGCCAGGGTGAGGTCTGTAATATAAGGTACTTAGACCTTATGGATTAAAAGGCATTCGAGCAAAGACCCCAATGAAGTGAGGGTGTGGAGCAGGCCATCTCGGGAGGGGCATTCCAGATGAGGGCAACAGCCAGATGGGGAGCATCTCAGCGCATTCAGGAAACAGAATGGAGGCCAGGTGACTGGATCCCAGCGAGCAGAGAGGAGTTTGAGATAAGACAAACAGGTAGAAGAGGGAGGGGCAGCAGGTAATATCAGCCAGGTGGGCCACAGGTGCAATTTGGGATTTTCCTCTGAGTGAGATGAGAAGCCATTAGAGGATTTTCAAAGGGAGCAACATGATCTGATTGAGGTTTACAACCACCAGAAGCTGCTGTGTTGAGAATGTAGGGAGATGAGAACCGAACCAGGGGGACCAGGTGGAACTTCCTAAAATAATCCAAGTGAACGGCGGGGGTGGTAGTAGTAGATACGATGAGAAGTAGTTCAATTGTGGACAGTTTTATAGATACACCCAATGGGACTTGCTTATAGATGTGAGAGGAAGGATTCCAAAATAGACATCGAGATTTTTGACCTGAGCAACCAGAAGTTTGGAATTATTTACTGAGATAACAAATACTGCAGAAGGCGCAAGTTGGGTGGAGAAATTTACTAATATTAATCCAATCTACCTATCTACACACACGTATGTATGTATAGTACTTTACAGTTAACAATCTGTTATTCACACTCAGGGATTTCATGTGCTTTCTTTTACTGCAGGAAGCAGAGAGTGCTGAGGGCACATCTGAAACCACTGGAGTTTGCCACGTGGAGGTCACGTAGCAGTGCTCTCCCACCAAGAGGCCCTCTGCACCCCTGGAAAGAGCAGTGATTATGCAGGACCACCCATCTGCTCAGAACTTTCGTGGTGGTTTGTGCTGTGACTCTGGTCCCATTCAGCTATGTGCTGCTGTAGGCTTAGCTTCCCACAGCCTCCCCAGTTTTGCTATTTGTCATGATCATTCACTCTTAAAATTTATTCTATGACCCCGATGCATGGAGTGATAGCCGTTAGCCTCTTAAAACAACTTTTACAATTATTTTGACAGGTTACTGTGATTTTGTTCTCTCAACAATACTTAGAATTTATCTGAATTATAGTTGCATAGATGGCAATTTTCCTGACCTAGCTTTTTGACTATGATTTATGGGTCAGTAAACTCTTTAAACGATGGAATATAACATCTCAGGCCGCAGGGAACACTTACTATCACATGCTCATTGTTGCAGGACGGATGCACGGCCAGCCTCAGGTTGTTAAACGTTAGGGTGATCCGCCTTCCCTCCGGGGCGGTGATTCTCCACTCGCAGATCCGGCCATGAGGATTTGGGTTCGGGTAGTTGGGAGAAGTAAATGTTCCAGTAGAGCCCTGAAGATCCCCACCACACTCTGATGTGGGGGAAAAAAGCCAAGAAAACTTCCAATCAAATCAAAATGTCTTTCATCAGGAAAGCTCTAAAAATTAGCCTTCTAGACAAAATTATTCTCTGTATTTATTTATGTGCATAAGGATTTTAGTGAACATATACATTCACTTTTTATCTCTATTAATATTTAACCCTGCCTTCCATGGATGATAGTCCACAGGCAGCAATTTAATTATCATCATGGCCCAAGAAATGAGAGATCAGTGAATGTAATGAACTTAAGAATCAGGAAAATCGGGCCAGGCGCAGTGGCTCACACTTGTAGCACTTTGGGAGGCTGAGGCAGGCAGATCACAAGGTCAGGAGTTCAAGACCAGCCTGACCAACATGGTGAAACCCCATATCTACTAAAAACACAAAAATTAGCCAGGCATTGTGGTGTGTGCCTGTAATCTCAGCTACTCAGGAGCCTGAGGCAGGAGAATTGCTTGAATCTGGGAGGCAGAGGTTGCAGAGAGCTGATATCATGCCATTGTACTCCAGCCTGGACAACAGAGCGAGACTCTGTCTCAAAAAAAAAAAAAAAAAAATCAAGAAAATTGGCCAGGAGTGGTGGCTCACACCTGTAACCCCAGCACTTTGGGAGGTCAAGGCAAGACCTCAGGTTTACCAAAAAAAAAAAAAAAAAAAGAGGAAAATCAGAAAGTTAATGTTAAGTACCCAGTTTTTCTGAACAAGATGTTTATTTCATCTGAGTTTGTCGGGTTTGCAGTAAGACACATTCTGAGTAACTACAGGACTTTCTTAAGGTGGGCATTACAGTATAACTCTCATCCTCTTATTATAACTCTCGTGATACTAGTTATTTTCCCTTATAGCATTGATCACAGCTGTGATTTTTCATTTATCACTGTGACTTTTTGATGGAGGTCCAAGAAAATAGGGGTCATGTTTTGTTTTGTTTTGTTTTTCAAATATTGTAACAGCGGTGCCTAGCATAGTGTCTGTCCAATGCGGGTGCTCAATGTTGTGTTGAATGAATCAATGCACTCACCTTCCACACTGGATTCAAATCGCAGTCTGAATCCTGAGGCAGTCAGAGAGCCGTCTGTGACAAACTTGACCACAGCAGTATTGCTAGAAGTATCTACGCTGTCAGGAATGCTGTCTCCACAGTATCTGCCCAAGATGTTTCCTGTGAGAGGCAAATAATTAAATATACATGTCCAGGTGATTGATTTCTTTTAACCTCTATTCGAGGTGTCCTGTGTATACAAAGAAAATAATAAAAAACAAGACCCTGTCTATGAAGAAACATTAATTTCTGTCAAGACAAACAGGAAAACATGAATAAAAATGAACATATTCAAATATATGAAGAAGTGAAAAAAATGTAACCAATTAGGGGAAGAATATCTCAGCAAAATGTGGAAGCCTTGCTCATTTGGTTGAAAACATGATCTGAGACAACAGAGTGACAAATATCTGCCTTATGCTACCACTAGGAGACATGCATGGCCCCTTCCCCTTCTCAAGCTATAGAATACCCCTCAAATAACCGCATCATGTGGCAATGGGACGTCTCAGCAGCAAGAGGTGCCTTCCTAATACCGTTGCTCTCCTCAAGTGGCCTCTAGGGGGGGCTATATGACACCTGGGCTCTGGGCATCCATTGTTAATGGTAGAATGGAGGGAGAGAATCGCCAGTACTACCCAAAACTCATTAGTCTGTACTTCTCTGCAGAGTATAGACATGCTTGTGCCTTTCTTGGAAGTGAAGAAACTTCAGAGGCTGAATAAGTACATGTGAAAATAAACACCCAAAAGAGAGCAGATATATTTCACTAACCAGAAGTATGATTGTCCCAGATCTCCATGAAGTCTTTTTCACAGCCAGAGGAATTCTGAAGGTTAAAATCTTCAAAAGAGATGGTGAGATAGTATCTGGAGAGCCCCTGGAGATGCCACTCACAGAATAAGTTGTCTCTATATGGAAGTGTTGGATGTCCAATGCTTTCAACAACACCACTTTGCCCTGTTACTCTTCCCCCACACTGAGCTGCAAAAAATAATAAATAAATAAATAAATAAATAAATAAGCAAGCAAGCAAGCAAGAGTGATTCTATTACAAATTTTGTTTTCTTCATTTCACCAGCACATTTGAAAACTTTTAGGTGCCAATTGACTCTGAATTGAAGTTTTTAAAATTCTGAAAATGGTTAGTGCTTTCCTCATTATTTGAATTCTAGGGTTGATGTAAACAGAAGTGATACCACAAGTCCAATCCAATAATGGGAAACAAGATGACGACTAAATGGAATATTCGTAGTGTCACATTAATTATTTTGGGACACTATGTAAGAGCTATTAGTCACAAGTAAGTTTCATCTCAAGACCAACTGATAGGCTGATCTGGCCTGCCCAGTACCCTGTGTTGATCCTAAAGACTGAACCCATGCTCAGCTGGAAGAGGTACTGTGGAGACACCTGCCATTTCTAGTTTTACTATCAACTAAACTGTTCACTACAGTAACTGATATCTCAAGGCCTTGAAAATTACTCTTCAATTATGTCTTATTAACTGGGTGTGATAGTTAATTGAATTATATGCAGCTTGACTCAGGATATAACATGATCTATGGTGTAGTTAAACATTGTTACCACTACTCTTTCTGAACTTTCACTGTATTAAATATTTGGTTTGTGTCTAGACCTATTAGATATCAAATTATGTGCTATTGTGACCATATTATAGTGAATCTTAGTGAATCTTCAACAAGCAAAGTTACTGCTCATTTTTTAAATAAGGAAATCAAAATGCGGAATAGGCATATTTGCTTTCCTTTTTTTTCTTTTCTTTTTCTTCTTTTTTTTTTTTTTGAGACAGAGTCTCTCTGTGTCACCCAGCCTAGAGTGCAGTGGTGCCATCTCGGCTCACTGCAACTTCCGCCTCCTGGGTTCAAGCAATTCTCTGCCTCAGCCTCCTGAGTAGTAGGAATTACAGGCGCCCACCACCATGCCTGGCTAATTTTTGTATTTTTAGTAGAGACGGGGTTTCACCATCTTGGCCAGGCTGGTCTTGAACTCCTGACCTCATGATCCACCTGCCTTGGCCTCCCAAAGTGCTGGGATTACAAGCATGAGCCACCATGCCCAACTGACATATTTGCTTTTTATCCAGTGACTGATTTGATACTAGAGACTCAGAGAAAAAAAAGCTTAATTATTTTATATATGATGAGGAATTCAAAGACACTGTTCTAAATATAGTTAACTGGTTCTTAAATAGTTTTATTACTTAAAGTAATAAACATACTGCAGTTCTTCCTTTTCCTTGGGGGATACATTCCAAGACCCCCAGTGAGTGCCTAAAACCTTGGATAGTACCAAACCCTATACAGACATATAGACTATTTTTTTCTCTATTTATGTACCTATGATAAAGTTTACTGTATAAATTAGACATAATAAGAGATTAACAACAATAATAAAATAGAAGAATCATAACAGTATACTGTAAGAAAAGTTATGTAAATGTGGTCTCTCAAAATATCTTGGTGTACCTATTTTGGGGCCTTTGTTTACCAAGGGCATTGAAACCATGGATAAGAGAGAACTACTGTATTTCATAGTAAGCTGAAGAAACAGGAGTTTAACTACATATATTTCTTCACAAATAAGTTAGAGAAAATGTTCAAATTACTAAGATTATGTTTTAAAATGAAAATTAAAAGAGAAATTAAAGTTGACTAATGACTGTGGTTTCAAACATTTACACACCTTACTTATTTCTAGCATTAAAATATTTTTAAAATTAGGCAAATAGAAAGACTTATTTTTAAAAAGTCATGGTTTTAAAAAATGTTTTAACATATTCATTCTATAATAACTCTTTTATTTAATACAAAAATGTTTCCCAGGGTTTTTATAATTTTGTGTTTTACAGTTAAGTCTTTACTCCATCTTGAATTAATTTTTGTATATGGTATATGGAAGGGGTCCAGTTTCAATCTTCTGCATACTGCTGGCCAATTCTCCCAGCATCATTTATTGGATAGGGATCTTTTCCCCACTGCTTGCCTTTGTCAGCTTTGTTGAAGATCAGATGCCTGTAGGTGTGAGACCCTATTTCTGAGCTCTCTATTCCATTCTATTGGTCCATGTGTCTATTTTTGTACCAGTACCATGCTGTTTTGGTTACTGTAGCCCTGTAGTATAGTTTCAAGTCAGGTATTGTGATGCCTCTAGCTTTGTTCTTTTTGTTTAGGATTGCCTTGGTTATTTGGGTTCTTTTTGGGGTCCGTATGAGTTTTAAAAGAGTTTTTTCTAGTTCTGTAAAGAATGTCATAGAGGGGGGCGGAGCAAGATGGCCGAATAGGAACAGCTCCAGTCTCCAACTCCCAGCGCGAGCGACACAAAAGACCGGTGATTTCTGCATTTTCAACTGAGGTACTGGGTTCATCTCACTGGGGAGTGCCTGACGATCGGTGCTGGTCAGCTGCTATTTTACCAGCTCTTGATAACACATTTCTCACAGAACCACACACATTTGCCCCGCAGCAATCCAGTGGAGATATTCTAGTCCTACTTTTGTAACAATGATTAGGGCCCTTCCACTTTTTTTCAAGATTTTTAAGTTTCTTTGTCTGGGTACGTAATTCTCTTTAGCTATGAGAAGTTTGATGGACTGAGCCTTCTCTTCTCCTCATCTCGTCAAAGTCCATTCTCCCGCTCAGCTTTTTGACTGTTGCTGGCGTGAGCTGCGCTCCCTTTGCCCGGGGGGAGATGCGCTCTTATTTTTTTGACAATTTCCAGCTTTTTCTTGCCCTGCTTTTATTCCGCCATCTTTGTGGTTTTATCTGCCTCTGGTCTTTGATGATGGATGACGTACTGATGGGGTTTTTGGTGTAGTTGTATGTGTCCTATCCTTGTTTGATAGTTTTCCTTCTAACAGTCCATTTGAGCGCGGCTCAGCTGTAGGTCTGTTGGGATTGCTTGAGGTCCAACTCCAGACCTGGTTTGCCTGGGTTATCATGCAGCAGAGGCTGCAGAAGATAATGAATATTGTGAACAGATCGAGTGTACCGTTGTCTGATTCTTCTGCTTGGAGGCTTCCCTCTCAGGGGTGTCAACTCCACCCTGTGAGGTCTGTGGGGTGTCAGACTGCCCCTAGTGGGGGATGTCTAAGTTATATGGCTACTTGACAGGCAGGCAGTCTGTCCCTTCTCAGATCTCAACCTCCGTGTTGGGTAGATCGCACTGCTCTCTTCAAAGCTGTTCAGGAACAAGCGCAGTCCGTTTGCGTCTGCAGATGGATTTCCTGCTGCTTTGTTGCTAACTGTGCCCCTGTCCCCAGAGGTGTGTAGTCTACAACAGAGACAGGCAGGTTTTCCTTGAGTGCTGTGAGCTCCACTCAGTTTGAGCTTCCAGCAGCTTTGTTTTACCTACTTAACTCAGCAATGGCGGGCGCCCCTCCCCCAGTCTCGTCTGCTTGCCGGTAGATCACACGACTGCCCCTGTGGCTACAATAGGGAGGCTCCGTGCGGGTGTGGACCATCCCGGCCAGGGTGGTGGGATAATGATCTCCTGTGTGTGCCTGTTCGCTTAAAGCGCTAGTATTGCGAGGTGGGGGAAGGTTACCCGATTTTTTCCAGGTGTTTGTGTGTCTCTATGTTTCACTGGCTAGGAAAAGGGATTCCTTCTGCCTTGCGCTTGCCTCAGGTGAGCAATGCCTCGCCCTGCTTCAGCTCTCGCTGTGGGCTTGC